GGTGTCCTTGTAAGGGTTTCGAATGTACTGCTTTGTGGGTTAGTTCCCAGCAGACTTGTACCGTATATCCGATCAAAATTTATTAGCGTGCCATACTGTGAATGCCCTGGGTTGTTGGTGGTCGAGTTCTGACTATTGTCACTTGTACTCTTGAGGGTGGCATTGTTTGGGCGTTGGTTATCAGTGTGGGCCGTGGTGCTATTTCGCACGTTGTGGGTGCCAATACTATTGACCGTGGGGAATGTGGGCTTACTTATACTGCCATTGTTGTTGTTGGCATGATTTGGGGTCATATTCTTCTCTTTTTTACCAATGGACTTATGGCTAGGAGAGGAAAGGGTCAACTTTCGGGGGATTTTGACTTTTTTTCTTGGATTATTTAGTGACATGTCTAAATCTACGGTGGTAGGTGGTATAGTTTTATTGGCTATTAGATTACAATTTAGCGGCCTTTCGGTTGGTGTCGCTCTCTGAGAAGATAATTCTGTGTGGTTAGAGAGGGGTGGTGCGGTGGATTCTACGGTATCTCTCAAAGGGTTGGGTATAATTGCTGCTTGCAATGTCCTATTGTTTATTCCACAGTTAGACTCAGTGTGATAATTATATACGCGCCTTTCTATGACGGTCTTGTCCACCGCAACCTTTACTAGTTTATAATTTCTGGCTTGCAGTGGGGTGTGTTGGGAGTGGATAAATTTTCTGGCCTCAGCAGGTGTTTCGAACTGAAAACGAATAGGACAACACTTTTCATGTTGACTCTTCTTCAGCCTGTAGCACTTAGTCTTGGAGTTGGGCATTTTCGCCTCACTAAGTAGGATGCGCTGTACCTTTTTTAGTGCCTCATTATCCGGAACGTTGTAGACAATAGCATTTAATTTAGCATCTAGTCGTTTTGTTACTTCTGTAGTAACAAAGTTAATTAGGTTATCCACCTTAGATATCGATTCACTGTCAAGTTTGTTAAGGTCTACAGTTTTCATGAGAATAGTTAAAGGTGTCAGTTCACAGACCTGCAGTCTGATATCACTGATCTGACCTGATAAATTGGAGATTTTGGTATTGGTATCGGAAATTCCAGGATCTACTGACTTATTGTTTTTTAAGTCCCTTAACTCGGCCTTAAGTTCTCCTATAGACAACTTTAGAAGTTCTATTTCTGAAGATAGTACTGAAACAGAGCTTGAAGGCTGGAGCTTTTCGATAAGCACATAAGGTGTAGGGAGGGTTTCTGTATGAGCAGAGGGTACTGAATTTTTGGGAGTAGTGCTAATACTAGCTGTCAGTGCAGTTTTATCCTCAGTTTCAGCTCGACGCTTACGACATACAAGTGAGTTTTGTGGCTCACTATAACCATTTGTAGGAAGTATGTTGCTTGATGTAGCAATCAACGACTTAAAATTAGTCATCAGTTTTACAGGGGATTGAGTTCGCTGCTTTTTACTTTGGTTAACCATAACTATTTGATATGAGAGTTAATAGTTATAGGGATGGAAGTAGTAGAGGACTTGTGCAAGGATTACAACAAGATAAATTTTATGTAACGAATCACGCAAAAATGTAACGCAAACGTTGGACGTACCGCTACAGTGCATACACCAACACGGTATCACTCTGAACACGATCCGCCTACTCTGGACTTGGTATTAACACACCAGAAGGAGGACGTTGGTAACATTAGGTGCTTTCCACTGCTTTGCAGCAGTGAGCACGTAGTCATCACTTTAACGTTTAAGATTCATTCTCTCATACACAGGTCAAAATCTGCTCGTCCAAACATTTGGAAAGCAGATATACCGGGAATCCGGAACGCAGCAACTGCAGCTGACTGGTCAGTTGATACAAGTTGGACTGTCGAGTGGGTGGGATTTAGGAATACACTAGATCGTGTCACTTCACCTTTCGTACCTTGGCACACTCCTCGAAAGCTATCCCATAAGTTTCCTTGGACTACTAGTGAAATAAGGAGGCTGTTAAGACGGAGGAAGAACTTATGGGACCAATATATTATGACAGGATGGGAAGATTTCCAGGAAGACTACCGCAAAATTCGAAATCTCTGTGAGTTTGTGATTAACAAGAGTCGTATAGCGTACGAGAGACGGCTACTACTGGAATGTGTTCATTAACCAAAAAAGCTGTACTCGTATATTAAACGTAGAACTAAAACTGGCAGTGGCATACCGTCACTCACAAGCATTAGTGGAGAAGCGGCTGAGTCAGACGAAGGAAAGACTGAAAGCCTCTCTGAATACGTCTGTGACGTCTTCTCATTTGATAGTACCACTCAGGAATAATATGGCGAGGTCACTGCCATCGTCACTAAGATGCCCTCAATTGTGGTAGGGCGAAATAAGGTCCTCAAACTACTGCCTCAACTGACGCCAGGTAAATCACCTGGGCCCGATAAACTTCACCATAAACTGTTAATTTCCTTGGAGGATACAATGTATGTTCCACTTACGGAGATTTTCCGAATGTCTCTGACCCAGGCTAAGCTACCCAGGGACTGGAAGGAACAGGCAGTTGGTATCTAACTGCCGATCGCTTAGTCTGACATGCGTTATAGCAAAGGTATTGGAAACCATTATAAGGGATCGGCTATTAGCGCTTGTTGAAAAACATGGCTTGCTAGTGGTGGAACAGTATGCATTCCGACCAGGACCATCCTCCCCGACAAAACTACTATTGGCTGCGAAAGACCGGGTTGAAGGCAGAGATAAAAACCTTCTGTTGGACATAGTTTTTATCGATCTTAGTAAGGCATTCGATAAAGTATTCCACTTAGGTCTCCTTAGTAAACTTAAAGGTTTCGGACTAGACCAATGCCTATGTGAGTGGTTTAAATATTACCTAATGGATGGAAGGCAAGAGGTTAGAGTTAACGGTGTACTATCAGGGTGGAAAGCAGTATCCAGCGGAGTGCATCAGGGAACTGAATTAGGCCTTTTGCTATTCCTACTATACGCTAATGAACTACCGGGGATTCTTACTTCGTTTTCATTATTATTTGCCGACGACATAAAGATCCGGAAGACCGTAAGTAAAAACGAGGAAGGTTCGGCCCTACAAACTGATCTAGGAGTTAATAAAAAGACAATTGCAGCGAAGAAAATTTTCTTTTCGACGAAGTCATCATCTAGGCTGTACATTCGTGTATTTATATCAAATGGATAGAAACATTCCAGAATAATTTCTGGTTAGGGGTCAAATTAATAAAAAATTACAATTAGGAATTAAAATGACATAACAAACAGGGAGGAGGGGTAAAACTCAAACAAAGTAGCATAATAACTAAGAAGATTGACATTGTGCAACTGGAGGTCGGCAATGTAGAAATAACAAAATATACAGGATGTTTGGATAAAAAACTAATATGATGAATAATTGTTTATGCAATCAGGGATTAAATATGTAGAAATAGTAAAATGACAAAATAAACAGGAAGAGTGGGTATGAAAATATGATAGTGTAAACAGGGTTTAAGAAAACTTAAAATAACATGAATAAACAGGAAGTTTAGATAAAAAAGGCGATGAGATTGTCATTACTAAAAAATTTTACCTGTTTATGATGGCCATGGTAGGGAGAGGGGTTGGACGTAATTCTTTTGGATACAAAGTGTGGGTTTGAGCTTTTGGATAGCTAGCGCCTCAGCTATGCCCAGATGTCTTGATTTGATTCCCTTTGATAGGTTTGATTGAATTTTGTATATTACTTTGAAGGATTTTTCGAAAGGCGCTGAATGTCCTGAGTTGACCAGATGTTCTGTCACTGAACTGTATACGCGTTTCTGGTCTCCTTTTACTAGCCAGGCTGGGTAGTGTTCGCGAGCGCGTTTTTCAAGTCGGCGCATGGTACGGTCGATGTACTCAGCTCCACAAGAGCAAGTAAACTGGTATATGCACTAGATAAATTAGCTGAGTGGCCGAACCTGTGGAGTTTGGAAATTAATTCTAGGAAAAGCACCGTAATGCACTTAGGTCAGAAGTCTTATACGTCATACTCCCTAGGGGACACACAGATACCTGATGTTAACTGACAGAAGGACCTAGGAATCATTGTCAGCAATGATTTGAAAACAACTGCAAATTGCAATGCAGCCACAGCTAAGGCTTTACGAATGCTATGGGCACTTCGTAAGGCTTTCAAACGATTAGATGAAGGCATGTTCCAAATACTCTACGCAACATATGTCAGGCCTCATCTAGAATACTGCAAGCAAGCGGCTAGTCTATGCTTCAAGAAGGAGGGACATATCTTAGAAAGAGTACAAAGGGTAGGAACGAAATTAGTTAGTGGTATCTCACTTATGACAAAAGGGTGGAGCATTTAAATCTCTTCCGGTTAACATACCGAAGGAAGACAGGCGACTTAATTTTAGCATACCGTATGCTTAAGGGTGATTTAGGAACTGACTTTTCTAACCTTTTCTCCCCTTCTAGGATACATTTACGGGGTCAACGCAAAAAGGTGCTCAAAACGAGGACGATTAAATTACGTGCAGAATTTAGATTCTCTCACAGAGTGGTCAACGACTGGAACTCCTTACCTGGTTGAGTAGTATCAGCTCCATCGGCGAACGCTTTCAAAGAGAAGTTAGATCTCTGCAGAGATATATTTTGCAAGGATTAATACAGGCCACAAGAGCCTTCTATCCTTATCATCTGAATCAGAATCTACCAGTGTCAAGTTATACACATATATTAATATGTACTTCACCCTGATGCCACAATTGCGATTTACTAATCAGTAAAATTATCTTTTGATATGAACTACTTGAAACTTTAGAAAATCTGGTGGGGTCATTTTACCAAACTCGTTTTTTCTATTACAGTGGAAAATTAAGATTTCACCTAAGATGTTTTCATATGTTTCTTCAGTGGCCATGCCTTGCAACCGTATTAAAAACTAACGTTAACCTAATACTAAGCACCGACAGAACAGAGTGTTGAACATTACGTAAGTCCGGCTGTGTTGGAAAATTGTTTTAAACTCTCAAAAGTGAATGTACACGACCCATCATTGAAACGCGTTATTTTAAAAAATTTATACATTTCTAAGATAATACGTTACTGTTTCACCAAAAAATGAAGGGTTGTGTACAGTGCTTGAGAGTGATATTAGTTGTCTTCAATTTCCTTGTAGTGGTAAGTAAAAATTTTTGCTGTGAATTCCACATTTACTCATTTGAATAGTTTGTTATCCGCATAAATAGATAGTATAACTATACCATCCTTCCTTAGTCTATTCATGTTTAGTGGTTTTGAGTACATTATTATTCTGTAGCAGCTGAGCAAGGCTTGAGATTTTACGACTTTGCTGAAAAAATCATTTAAGTGATGGATATCCCACAATATCGTTTTCACATTTCATTATACTAGCAACTAATAATGAGTTATACAGCATATCCCCATTTCATATTCACTTATTTTGAATAAAATAAGACTGAAAATTCAGCCCTGTGTCAACCAATGGTCTACCATCTTTTGTAAATGTGCATTTATATGATATATGTTTTTCTAAATGTGTTTTAATCAGAGTTCATTTCAGCTGTTCTGCCATTTGGTCCTTACATGAATGTGTGGAATGCCACACACATCTAACAGCTGGAAATATTCATTTGTTTTATGTTTCGTTTCGTCATCAGCATACAATTATGTATAAATATTAATGGAAGTGATTTCCCCCTCCATGTTGTACACTGTTCAGTTTCATGTAGCTCTATTCCATTTGAGGATATTAAAATAGAAATGAGACTGATTTTGTTGTAGCACACAGTGAGAGTTTTGGGTTATATTTCATACCTGGTTATCACTGACTTTACGTGAATAAAACCACTATCTTTTGGAAGTGGTTTTTATGTCACTTTGGTGTAGTTACTGGATGATATGAATGTAATGTTACTAGATAGCTTTCAGTTAGCCAGTGAAGTGGTTTTCTGTGTCACAGCAGCCTTAAAAATTACTACTTTCTTGTTAAGAAGCGTTAAGCATTCCTTACAGAAAGTATGACATTACCTAGACCGAAGACCATAGACTTCGCGCCAAACAGAAGCTGCTGCGATAATATCATTTCTGTAGAAGTATTTGGAAATATCACCATTTCGAAATGACACATTACCCACTACCATTATTTTCGTGTGAATCTACAAGAGATTTGTATGTAAACCTTCTAGAAACCTGAGTGTACAAGGTCAAAGTTGGTTACTGAAAGCTATACATTTTCCTTCTGAATCTTGGAGCAAATTTCTCAACAGAAAGTGCAAACAAAGTCATTTTAAGCAGTTGGACAATATCTTAAGAGGCGATGCAGTTATTCCCCTTTGATTTCTATGTTCAGGCACTTGAAATCTGTCCGAAATGGTGTTTCTTTATGCATTTTGATATGTTTATGCTCCTCTTGTTCAAGATAACTCCAGTGTAGTGCTAAATTCTTCACTACTGGAAAAAGCAGCCCCATTACCTAACACTTGAGACAGTTAAACCTTATTATTGTTTGAAATATAGATTTTCTTATGGTAATCACAACGACGAACTAGTGGTATCTGCAGCACTTTTTGTCACTTTTAGACTATACACTTTTATATGATGATAGTGATAATCACTTGTGTATTGAATATGTATAACATGTAAATATTTTGGCTGAAACTTGTAAATCAAAGAACATTTTTGATTTCATTTATAAAATCGATTGTGTAACTTTTGTTCTAGTTTCCAAATCAGTGAAGTTCGGTGAGTCGTTTCTACTAATGATATTTTCAAATCGACAAATTTACTGTGTCATATTTCATTGAGAAGTTTTCAGACATTGGTTACTGTTATGTAAATGTGAATTCAAATTGAGTTCACCAGTGACTATTTTCAAAAAAAAGAGTTGTCATGACTGAAAAGTTACGTTGTACGAAATAAGATAATGGTAAAGTGTGGCATGAAAAGACTTTTCTGTATGTATAAAGTGTTGGCAGTTGTAGCGGTAACTTATAAGATTTGATGTTTTCACTAGAGATATATGTGCTTGTGATGGCTGGAACAACACTTAAATACAAATATTCTTAATTTGCCTCAGACCTAAGCGTAATTTTTACACGATACGTGATAATGTCCTCATCTATTAATGTCAAGTGTTATCAAACAGTAACCAGTGTGAAAGTGTTTTTGTGAAGTGTACACTGAACTTATTTGGCTTTGCTGAAATTTGTTGTTTCCCATTGTGTCTCACATATATTATGTTACGAATAAGTTTTTTGTTCATTTACATTGTGCATCTTAAATATTATTTATTTTTTTCTGGTTCATTTATCTCAATTGCCGTACAACACAGAGTGATTGTATTTTTCTTCATGTATTTATTTATAAGACTGTAAATATGTTAATGGACGACATGATTATTATTCATGTTAGATGGTTGGAGGTAATCGGTAGGAAGCCTTGGATCTAGGTTTCGTGCTAGTTGGCACTCGTCAGCAAGACGTATCTGCAACTTTGAAGGAACTCGTGCCTTTCTGAGAATCGAACCCGCGTCACCGAGTGCTGCAGTCAGAGACGTTACCACTGAGCCATTCAGGCTCGCGATTGACCTCCTGTCTATCATATATATATATTAGTGAATGAAAGAGTGACCTAGTACCTTGGAAAAAAGTGTAACATAACAAACCGTCATTGATAAAAGAATGGAACTTGTCCACTTCAGCAGAGCATGATTCCATTATGAAATAGATTTCTCCGACAAAAGCATGCAGTAAGGCAGCATTATTTACCGGTGACATTCTAAGAAAAATTCTTTGCTTGAAATCATTTCAGACTTCGTTTATATGATTCCATTATTTCTTATCCTTTGATTTTATTGGTAGTGTTATTCCACATCTCTGATGTTGCCGTTGCGTCATTCCTATTGTACTTATCATATGTAGATTCGATGAACAAGGATCAAGTGATCAACCTCTCCCCCACCCTACTTGCCTATATTACCTTTTAGGACTATTTGTGGTTCCGTTCCACCCTGTTGTGTGACTGTGTATCAGTGCATGCATTTTGATTGTGGAGTTTTTCCCTAAACTATTCATCATCCTGGAATCAATCGCTCTACACTTAGCTAAATTCTTATGTTCCGAAATAGATTATCTCCTATCTACTGGTTTGACGAATATAGTTGACCTCGCAGTCATTGCAAGGTATTTGGCAGATTGAATTATTTTGTCTAATTGGGCCAATAGGGTCCTTTAGCCTAAATAGCTTGTCCCTAAATTAGTTTGAAAGTTTAAATACCAACCTAATTCCCATTTTATTTAGAATTATATGTAGGGTTTCAGACGTTTCTTCATCCAGCGGTAAAACTGCATTCGCCTTAAATTCTTTTGTATCTATGTTATGGCCAGTAGTCCTGTAACAACAGAAGGCAAGAGTCAGGCAACAGATCATTTATTAAGGAAATCAACGCATATTTATATATTTTCATGTACATTACTATGAATATTTAAGCAAACAAACACAGTCTTCCGATTGGTTGTTTCTCACGTAAAGTTAATCTTTCATCTATTTGTGACTGTTTCTTGAATGTCAAATCCTCTATGTGTTAACTGCATCCGCCTACGCAAAGTCAATCTTTGTTCACATTTTCTCACGACAAATCTTGGGAACGTAAATATTGACGTAAATTACTGTCTACCAATTTGGCTAGTGAACAGCTCTCACCACACTCGTCCCCCCGTCAAATAGCTTTGCGCGCAGGCGTTCCGACCTTCTGGGTGATGCGTTCTCTCGTTGATGATTGTTACAGACCGGCTTGTCCCAATGCACCCATCGTTGGATCTGACTGGCGTTAACTCGTTTTTGTTTGTCACCTCTTCTGATGGTATATACTTGACCCCGTCTTTTTGTGACTGTGTATGGTCCTTCCCACTTTGGAAGGAGTTTGCGTGAACCTGGCCCGCATCCGACAGTATATCTTCTGTCTCTACACTTCACTTGGTCCCCGACTGAGAAAGTAATGCACTGAGTCTTTTCTCTCAGCTGAGACTTCGCGACATCCCTCTGCTGCTTCTGCATTACATTCTTGACGGCTTCTTTCCGTTCTGCTTTTAATTTCGTCGTACTCCACTTTTGGTGAAGGGGCCAGGTTTCTTTGTGTATCGGTAATCGTGGTTTTCTACCATACATCAGTTGAAAGGGTGACTTTTTCGTTGTTTCCTGGGTGGTGGCACGATGTGTTAGTAGAATCAGTGGCAACTCCGTTTCCCAGTTACCGCCCTTCGAGGCCAGCCACTCCTTCAGCGTACGGTTGTTTCTCTCCGTCAGGCCATTCGTTTGTGGATGGTATGGGGTCTTTCGGATCCTCTTGATGCCAAGCTGTTGCAAACGGGAAGTAAATTCTTCACTTTCGAAACACGGACCTTGGTCTGTCAGTATTGTCTTTGGTACGCCATGGTCTGCAACGATGTGTCTAACTACTGCATCTGTCACGGTCGTTGCGCGTTGGTCTGGGATTGCTACGGCGTCTACCCATCGTGTCGCGTGTTCCGTCATCACCAAGAGGTACTGATTGCCATTGGATGTCTGAGGAAATTGACCCATAACATCTACGGCCCACAAGTCACCTATCACCGTAACTGGAATCGACTGAAGTGGTGGTCGTATGCACCGGTCGCCTTTCATTAGCTGGCACCGTGGACATCCAAGTACATATCTTGCTACGTCTTCTCTCATACATACTTTGTCTCAAGAGGTCGGTTGTTCTGGCCACTCCGGTATGTGCTAGCTGGTGGCATTCTTCTATCATGTCGTGGCGCGACGATTGAGGTATGACAGCTAGCCAGCTTCCGTCGTCCTCTCGCCAGGTCAGAGTCCCGTAGACATTCACTCTTAGTCGATCTCTCTGTCTGAGTAGTGTGGTTGGCTCCTTACTCGCTGTGGCTTGATCCACTTCTATTCCGTTGGTGATCACCTGTATTACTGTATTCAGCGTATCGTCCAACCTTTGTCTGCGTGCCAGTCCTAGTGGGTCTTGTTCTACTGCATGCACTCCGTAAGCGACCTCGGGCAATTCAGACTCGTCTTCTGGTCTCGATAACAAATCTGCCGAGACATTTTCATTTCCAGGAACGTGTGAGATGGTAAAATCGTACTCCTGAAGACGCAACATCCACCGTGACAGTTTCCCTCGTGGGTCTCTCGCTTTCTTCAGAAACTGTAGCGGCTTATGATCCGTTTCGATGTGGAACCGCCGGCCGAGTAAATAAGGTCTCCATTTGTCGATTGCCCATACCATCGCTAAACATTCTTTCTCTATCGTTGAATACTTTCGCTCTGTGTGTGTCAAAACCCGACTGGCATACTCAACGATTCCCTCACCCCGTCTTAGGACCGCACCTATGGCGTAGTCACTGGCATCTGTGCACACTGTGAACTGTCTTCCAGGTACAGGTAGCTTTAGTGTCATTTGTTGGTGGTCGAGCAGCTGTTTAATCCTGTTGAATGTCTTCTGCGATTCCTCCGACCAAACAAACTTCGCTTCACCTAGTAACCTGTACAGAAGGGCTGCTATCTCATTGAAGTTCTTCACGAAGCGACTATAAAACGCTGCTCTACCTAAGAATTGTCTCAATTTTCTCTTTGAATTCGGGGCCGGGATCGTCTTTATCGTCAAGATTTTCTCCGGTGGTGGTTTAATCTCACCATTTCCCACTTTATGTCCCAAAAGAGTTACATTCTTTTTGGCTATCTGAGACTTGGTTTTGTTGACGCGCAGTCCAAACTCTTCGATGCGTCTCAGTACGGCTTCCACATGGTTCACATGATCGTTTTCCTTTTGACTATATATGACGAGATCATCACCGTACACCTCAACGTTTTTCAAGTTTTTAAGTAATAGCGTCATCAGTCGTCTGAACGTGAACGGTGCACCTGCTAGTCCAAACGGCATGCGTTTAAATCGATATTGTGTCTGACCCACGATGAATGCCGTCTTATCCGTCTCACGACAAATCTTGGGAACGTAAATATTGACGTAAATTACTGTCTACCAATTTGGCTAGTGAACAGCTCTCACCACAGTCCCACTATTATTTCGCCTTTTCCTGTGAGCTTTCTTGATCGTTAACTGAATGAAATGGTATGGTTATTTGGAATTGACCCTGTGAAGATTAGTAGTTTAGGGAAAGATTCAGTGATCGCAATGCATGCACTAACACACAATCACAAAATAGGATGGGACGGAGCCATATTTAGTCCTGAAAAGTAATATAGGCAGGTAGGGTGGGGGAGAGGTTGATCACTTAATCCTTGTTCATCGAATCTACATATGATAAGTACAATAGGAATGACGCAACGTCAATATCAAAGATGTGGGATATAACACTACTAACAAGATCAAAGGATAAGGAATAACGGAATCATATAAACGAAGTTTGACAGTTATGTGAGTACCTTGATAAGATTTTGAGTAATACATTTTGCTTGAAACGTCATCAGCAAATAATACTGTATTACTGTGTACATTTTAATCAGATAAATGTATCTTATAATGGAATATTAAGTGATCACTCTTAGGAACATCACGTTCACAAGGAGGATTATGAAGCTGTTCTTGGCTCAATGCATTTTTATCTGAACTCAAATGCACAAACGACCCTTTATAAACGTAAATGGCTTCCATACACAGTGTTGTCGAGTAAAAGGTTTTCAGTTTCATTTCCTACGTTGAAATCTTTCACATTAAATGGAGTGCAAAATTAATCACATCCCTCAGTCATGCTTATTAGCCAAAGTGGTCTATTAAGAAAGGTTGACATTTTTTCCCGTCAATCTGACCATATACTTGAAGACTTTCCGCATTTTTCCCATAACATTGGTATGGTTTTTAGTCGGTTTCAGGGCCCGACTACATGAACAACTTTAAACAGCACTTATATCAGGCGCCAAAATGTGGAGCCTGTTTGTTTGCCCACTTGTTTAGAATAATTGTGTTTACTGCGACTGTACTACCTCTTGATAATGGTATAACTATGTCTGTTTTCTTCAAGTCATTTCAGTTTTGAAAGAGTTTGCAAATTAAAGTTGTCTCAGCTGGATTCTCTCGAGTTTTTAGCTGATGAATCAAGATCATTTTTGTCATTTACCCATGTGGCATTTTTTCTCACTTTCCTCTGAAAATATTAAGTCTTGATATAACAATCACAGTCATTCATATATTTAAAAATTTGTTTTTCATTTCTATCTTCAGCTCATTGGTTTAGCAGTTCTCGGCTTCTCAGTATACATTTATTTGGAACCGGAAGCTCAAGACATTATATTAGCATCAGGACAACAGCATGTAGTACAAATAATGTTATACGCTTTAATGGGGATCGGTGGAATTACACTAGTTATCGCCTTGTTCGGTTGTTGTGGTGCATATCATGAATCACAATGTCTACTGGGAACCTACTTCACAATACTTATTGTGATATTTGCAACTCAAGTGACCGGAGCTACATTGGGTTACATATACAGAGAAGAGGTAAGTTTCATTTGGATAAGATGGTAAAAGTATCATGGTTATGTTATGTGAATACAATGTGATTTTATACTTTTCGGTGAGAGGGTGGTTAAAAAGTCATATGTATATATTCACATATGATTTCGTCAGAAACAGTCACCTCTTGGTGATTATTTACAATCTGTCCCATGTTATTTCGCGGCAGTGGCAAAGTATTCGTAGGACTTGCTACGACATGGTTTCAATATTGTGTATTTCTTTTCTCAAAACGGTGCAAGAATGCCGTTTTGGCTCTCGTAAAACATTCAAAAATGCAAACGTTTTGACTGCCAACATGATCGTCTCAACAAATTAGTTACCGTCAGTTATCTTATTAGAACGTCTAGACATACGGACACTATTTCTTCCCACCCCTTGACAAATTCAATGTGACAATGCCTAACTAAAATATCACAGATGCAATGAATACTGTCTGTTAAACCAGTGTTAAACCATTGTTATCTGAAGACAATTTGATAATTGTAGACATCTGACTCTTTCAAGAGGTTTGTACTTATGGGTTAAATATTACAAAATTACCAGTAAAAACTTTGGTTTATGCATTGTGTTTATTAGAAAGACATGACAGAGAATTTGTGTATTGACAATAAGAAACATTCTTCTGAGATCTGCTATTCACTAAACAACAATCATTTTAGTTATAGGAGAATAATAACGGGGTTGTTCTTTCAAAGGTATCATGCAAGACACAAATTCTCCCACTTTATCCTTCTATCTGCTCCAGTACTTCTGATTTCTTTTTATTCCTTTGCTTTCCGAGGGGAATATAGGGTTTCAAGCGTAGAGCTCTGAATTTTCAGTAGCAGTGATGTTATTCTTTTTACGGGGTGAGGTTGCTAGCTTCATGCCCAATTTTCCTTCCTTACCGACATTACTACCAGCTAAGCAGCGAGGTTAAGCAGTACGTCGGATGGGATTCCAACCCTGGACCACGTCCGTGGTTGGCTAACATCTGATAGCCATTTGAAAACCAATTCTCATTTCTAATGTTCACAATCAATGGGTCTCTGAGTGATTAGAAGTGAATTTTGAAGAACTGGAGATTCATAGATTTTATTGAGTTGGTTGGGTCCTTTAATCCTGATTTATGAAGTTTTTCGCACTAGTGACGTGACTGAGACAGTAACGTGAGAGTTCTTTACAGTAATACTATAGAGCATATATTGTCGTTTTTATACGTTGGACTAACTTTTGGCAGCCTAGAATCTTAATTTAAATACTACTACCCTTGATATCGGTAAATGATATGGGAAAGAACAAGGCATTAAATGTGGGTAGATCACTTTAGCGGTTTGTTACAAATATGACCAATAACTGACTGACTAGTTCCAGCAGAGAACTTTGCACAGAAGTACAGCAGTTCCAGTTGCCACACTTTCTCCACGTAGCATACAGAGGCAGAAAAAACAGAGAAAAATAGCAATCCAGAAGAACGATAATAAGCAGGAACGTGAGGGAAAAAGAATGGTAACATAAGAAAACAACTGGGCTTGAATGGACCACCACTAGCTCTTTTCCAACCCGATCCATCCTATGTCAGATAACATTGCTCGCCGAGGAAGGCGGTGGTTTGGGATGCGCACTACATGTTCTAGCCATCTCAATCGATGTAATTTCACGACCTCGTCGATTGATTTTCCCTTCTTACCTAGCACTCGACCGATGCCTCACCTCAATATTGCTCACCTTATTATACCACCTAACATGGGAGATAGAACGCAGACACCTTTGATCGAAGACAGCTAGCCTTTTCACCATGTCTTCCACTTTCACTGGTCATGTCTCGCAACCGTTAAGGAAGGTGGAGCGAACTGCAGAGCAGTACACATACCCTTTGATTGACAGCCAACGGGATATCACGTCTACACTAGAGATGGTGTAAGTTGGCAGATGCCAAACGAGCCTTCTTTATCCATACTGAGATTTCGTCATCAATCAACCCTCTGGGGTTAATACAACCTCCCGAATAATTGAACTGGTCAACACGCCCCACCAACTACTTCACTCCCTATCTTTAAGCTAGGGATCAGTGTATTTCAGTCCTGTAGCATTATCTTACATTTGACAGGAGATTTCTACTCAAGGTGTTCAGAAGACTCTTCATTATGACCATTAAACTGGACAAATAAGAATTATTTTAGAGTATTCTCTTCACATTTTCTAGTTTCATAAACTTTTTATTAGATTTCTCCATTATTTTTCCATATGTTTGCGTGCCAAACTTATGGTGTTATTCAACTGTGTATGTATGACTAACATTTGTCTAACCCTAATGGTTTTATTGAGTGTTCTGTGATTGACTGTGTGTTATGACTTACTTATCCGAATGTTTGAGTGTTTACAGATTAGTAAAAGAGAAGCCTATGAAGGGTCACAGTTACTTCATTTGTATCCCGTGCCTTCGCTGCTTCGTAGATATGGGAATCAATAACGACTATATTTATCATTTAGCGTCGGTGGCACAGCGTTTAGGATGCTCGCCGACCATGCACATGGTCCGGAGTTCGATCCCCGGCCGACTCACTCCTTTACCTCCCTAAGCCAGTAATTAAAAAAATGCTGGTAAAGAGGAAAGGTTCGGCATGAGGCTAGCAACCCCATCCTGTAAAAATAAACACCACTGCTACTGAAACTTCAAGCCTCTAGCTTGAAGCCCTATGTTCCGCACTGGGAACGTGAAGGAATAAAAAAAAATATTTATCAGTGAAGATAACACGTAGTTTTATCCATTTAAGTCTGTAGAGGTTGTGTTTACAGATATCTGATAGTTTTATTGTTCAAGTTATTAAATGTATATTTTTACCTGAGATAACGTCATACTGAGTAGTAGTAGTAGTAGTAATCTAGACTGTATTCTTGCTTTGTCTGTGTTATCGTTAAGCCTTAGAAACTACCCTAGAATAATCCTGTCTTAACCATTCATCCAGGCGTTTCGACTGTTATTAGTATAAACTCTTACTGTACAATAAATGTCTGCATTGCACTTAAGTGGAATATATCTGAATTATAATTTTTCGACACCGGATATAATAAGTTTAACTTTGTTTACAAAAACACAAATTAGTTTTAACTAGTTTTAAATGGATTCATTCTTCTCAGTAATGTTTGTTTTGGATTATACAGTGTTCAGAAATTAGTTTTGGTCTTGACTGTATTCACAGTTGTTATGTTGATCTGTATCCCTCGGATGCCCAACCCACTGCTTCCCATTCAGGTTTCCATTTCAAGGCCACTGATGTGTGATGATGATGACACTTAACAGTCTCCTCGATGTATGTCCAATCAACCTCCATTTTGTCCTGTGTATTTGTTGGGCAACCGGTTCTTGATTGATTCGTGGCCAGTGTCGCTTGCTGGTTATCCTTTCTTGCCGGCCATCCCGTTTTCAGTATCGAGGCGGCCTGTTGGAGATGCTTTAACCAACACACACACACACACACCAATTCTCTGAACCATATAGCAACATTCATTTGACATTAGTGCTGAGTGAGTACTGTAGATCTCTCCACTGATTTTAGATATGATCTTCATCCATGCCGCTTGTTGTTGAAACGACGTTGTACAGCTAGGGAAGTGAAGGAGATGTCTTTCTCCTTTAGGACTGTCTTGTTGATAATGACTGATGCTTGTTGTCATTGTCTGAGTATCTGCCAGTACCTCTACCTTCTCTAGGCCCATCTAAAGTCCTGCTTTTCTCAGCCTCTTCTACTAACTTGTTTGTGTTTTCACTTGTCAATCTTCTTTTTTTTTTTTTGAAACATGAGACATTGACCATTCTCGAAATCCAGACCTTCTAGGGTCTTTCTGTATGTCAAATGTACTTTCCTCATCTCATTTACCGCTGTCTGCTGAATGTTGTAGTGGGCCACAATCCATATCTAATCATAGAATTGAAATAGATCGTAATGGTACTGGTGAGATTATCTTAGATAGCCAAAGTAATCTTATTTGTTTGAGTTAATTTGAATTTCCTGTCGATTAATTTATCACTGAAATGAAGTGTTTGGTCTCCGTTGACATATCGGCTCGTAGTATAGCCACTTTGATGATGTCTAATGTTTAACATGGTATCATAAGGTTGGTGATGATTAGCTTAGCCATGCACTTCAGGATGCTTATTATTATTATTGTTTCCTTTAATTCCTAGAGGAACATACGGCTTCAGCCGTGCGTCTCCATTGCGTTCGGTTCTCTGCTAGAGTCTTCACCTGGCTCCATGTCTGCCCACACGTTTTCATCTCCTCTTCACATGACCCCCTCCAAGTCACCCTTGCACTGACGACCAACTCACCGCTTCCCTTTTGGGTTCCACTCTAGCAATGGCTTGTCTAGTGATGTCACTTGATGGTTTCATCAGAGTATGGCCAATCCACCTCCATTTCTTCCTGCATTTTTTCTTGCACAACTGGTTCCTGGTTGGTTCGCTCCCAGAGATCCCTGTTGCTGATCTTTTCTGGCCATCTGATCCTCAGTGGTATTGAGCGAAGACAGCTGTTAATGAAGGTCTGTAGTTTGTTTGACATGCTCTTTATGACACGCAGTGCAAGTCTCTGATCCGTATAGTGAGTAGCACTGACTTCACATTGGAGTTGAAAATCCGGATCTTATTTTTGATGCTGAGTCCTGTTGACCTCCACACAGACTTGAGAGTAGTGAAAGCTTGTCTTGCTTTTCCGATTCTTGCTTTGATATCCTCGTCAGTTCCATCCGCCTGTAGTTGAAACGATGCTTCCCATGTGGGTAGGTAAAAGAGGTTGTTTCTTTCAGGTTCCTTCCATTTATGCTGATTGTTGTCTGTAGTTGTTGATGTTGGTGGTGTTGGCCAGGAATCTTCATCACCTCTGTTTTCTCTATGTTCACCTGAAGTCCTATATTTGATGCTTCTTCTGCCAACTTGTTGCTTTTCGCTTGAATATCTCCCAGTTTGTGGGAAATCAGACATGTATCATTGGCGAAGTCCA